CCAAGGGAATGAGAGAAGGTGCTGGACCGAGGATGATGATGAAGGGGAGAGAGGGAGATAGAAGAGGGAGGGAGGGAATGAGAGAAGGCGCTGGACGAGAAGAGGGAAGGAGGGGAGAGAAGAGGGATAGAGGAAATGAGAGAAGGCGCTGGACCGAGGAGGAGGAGGAGGGGGGGGGGGAGAGAAGAGGAGAGAGGAAATGAGAGAAGGCGCTGGACCGAGAAGAGAGAAGGAGGGAGGGAGGGAGGGAGAGGTGTCTTAACCTAACTTAGACGCCAAGGGAATGAGAGGTGCTGGACGAGGATGATGAGGAGGGGGAGAGAGGGAGATAGAAGAGGGAGGGAGGGAATGAGAGAAGGCGCTGGACCGAGAAGAGGGAAGGAGGGAGGGAGGGAGAGGTGTCTTAACCTAACTTAGACGCCATGAAGTGTCGGTAGTGATTCGAATCAATCATTATCCGGATCTAGAAATATTTCCCGCCAAACGCCTTCCTTGTCGCGCTTATACCTAACTTTCTGTGTGTGAATTGTGAGTCCAAACAGGGACTTGTTCAGATAGGAGTGAGGTTAACCTAAGTTACCTCATTCCTTCGAGATGTAGTTTTTATCCAATAAACATATTAAAGAAAAAAAAAAAAAAAAAAAAAAAAAAAAGGCTATTTTACGGGCCGAACCTGCGCATTCGGTGCTGCCTAACCTTAATTACTGGAGACAGAAGTGGTTTTAATGTAATTCTAGATGTGTGAATATTTTTATTGCATCAGTGACCTTATTGCCTTAGTCGAGGTATTCGGTCTCTGTGTCCTTTGACTTATTATCATCATTAATACTATTATTATTATTATTATTATCATTAGTATTATCATTACTGTTATTATTATTATGTATCATTATTATTATTATATTATTATTATTATTATATTATTATTATTATTATTATTATTACTATTATTACTATTAATACTGCTACTACCATCATTATTATTATCCTCATTATCATTGTTATAATTACTACTATTATAATTATCTTTATCCTTATTATATTGTTATATTATCATCATTTCATTATTATTATCGTTATAATTATTATTATTATTATCGTTATTATCATTATCATTTTCGTTGCTGTTATAATTATCGTTATTATCTTATTCATATTGTTATCATTATTATCATTATCATATTGTTATCATCATTATCGTCATTATTGTTGTTGTTAATACTATAACGATTTTCATTCTTTTTCCAGGCATGTAAACTGCACAGATATGATTAGACCGCAGTTTATGTGTATTTATTCGAGAGGGGGGGAGGGGTGTAAGAAGGAAGGCAAGGGGAAAGAGGAGAGGAAGGAAGGGAAGAAAGGGGACATAGAAGAAAGGGAGAGAGGGAGAAAGGGAGGAGAAGAGAGTATAGAGAGTAAAGATTAAACGGGAGCTTTAAGAGAAAGGGGAGATGGGGAAGGGAAAAGGGAAGAGGGAAAGGAAGGGAACTAAAAGAGGAAAGTAGAGGGAATTGAAAAGGGAAAGAGAAAACAAAAGCGAGAGAGGAGGCGAGAGGTAGACGGAGGAGGATGAAAGAGAGAGAGAGAGAGGAGAGAAGAGAGAGAGAGAGAGGAGGAGAGAGAGAAAGAGAGAGAGAGAGAGAGAAGAGGAGAGAGAGGAGAGAGAGAGGAGGGGAGAAGAACCTACTAACTTTTTTGTTACTTGTAATTTCCTGTTAATTATTATCATTATCATTATGATGGTAATAATAACGATAATGATAACAATAATAATGATGATAAAGGTGATAATGATAATGATGATAATGAGAATAACCATGATAAAAATACTAAAATGCGCTTACGATGATAGGGATAATAATGATAATAATGACAGTAATGATAATAATGATAATAGTAATAACAATGATAATGAAAATCTAAGGAAAGATAATAGTAATAATATGATTAATAATGACAATGATGATAATGATAATGATAGTAATAATAATGTTAATAATAATGACAATGCCAATAATGATGATATATTATAACCATTTTTGTTATCACTACTATTATCATTATCATTGTTATTATTATCATTACTACTACTATTATGATTATTATTATCATTATTATTTTATCATTATTATTGCTATTGCCATTATTATTTAGTAGTATTTTTTATTATATCATTATTATCAGTATTATTATTATTATCATTAGCTTTTGTTATCATCATTAAGTTTTATCAATATCATTACTATCATTGTTGTTATTATTATTATTGCTATTATTATCTTTATTGTTATTATCATTGTTATCATTATCATTATCATTACTATTATCATAATTATTC